AGGTTAGTTACTTCTCTTCATTAAATGCTCGACTATTTACAGTTTCATCGTCGTCGTCTGTCGACATAGTTGTACACACGTATGTATTATTTGTGTAGTGGAATATCGAAAGTAACGCTTGGACAAAAGTTTATTTGTACATCATTAATATGGATCGTAGATAATGAAAAGTTGAGGAAGCGATTGTTAACGACATCTTGGGAAGAATGACAGATATCGTCTTAGAAATTAAGAAACGTGTCTCCGAATGTTGGACAAACATCTTTGCAGAAGTGTGCAACGCAGTAGTTTATATAGATCGTTGTGCAATCGAATGTTTGCATTGGCACACAGCTGGTAAAGGTTATTTAGCGTTAAAAGATGCTGGAGCAGTTGCAGTTTATGAATTTGGCATGTATCATTTTCGAGTAAGTATTCATACACGCCTCGTATATGTAAGAGATTATTACAAAAGAGAGGAAAGAAAAAGTTTCTTGAAAAAATTAAATGCGATTCTTGTTGTCTTTAGTACGCGGAAGTGAAAGATACCAAAAAAGCTGTTGTCATATCAACGTCTGGCGATCCAGCATTTTATCAGCGTACGATTAAAATGATAGTGGCAAAGAATACGTTCCAGAAATGTATCGTTTACTGTAGCGTACCTTGTAGTACTATCGACAATATGGAAACATTACCTGTCGAAGAAAAATTGGACTACGTTAAATTGAAGAGAGACATCAAGGTTTGGATGACTTCGGGAAATCTTCCTCGAGTTAGTCGATCCATCCTTTCTTTTTCCCGTCATTGTTAAATTTGTTTGTTATTAAATTTGTTTGCAGTTACAATCAAAACATTTATCTCGTAGGAACCTGCCGTCGATGTCATCCATGTACCGATTTTTATTGCTCTTTTAAATAAGAATCTGCTTGTGACACCTCCTTTCGCAGATTTAATGCCACCTTTGGACGCTACTGTTTCAAAAGACGCGTTAGTTAAATTGAATCTTTTGGCATATTCTTTTTACAACCTGTTCGATAGTATAGGAGCTAAATTAGATATTTATTCAGTTGGAAAATTAAGCGATCTTCTTGCAGAAAATTTGGAACATTACACATCTGGCGTTGATCGTCGAAACGTAAGTAGTACCGGAAGTAAAAAAAAACTTCTCTTTCGTTTGGGAAACAAATCAACGTAAGCAAGTAACGAAAATGAACCCGCTAATGAACCCTAAATTGTTTACAGCATTTATCAGAAACGCCAGAAATAGGAGTTTCTCTTATCTTGATCGATAGAACGTTAGATCTTTGCACGCCTACCAGTAACAATACAGAATCTTTTCTTGCAAAAATACTACGGACATTTCCTCATTTACCACATCATGACAATGACGTAGCTGTTAATATGTCGCCTGTGTTTGGAACAACAACGGTATACACACAAACATATAGCTTGCCCATTTATTTCACATAGAAATGATATATTGTATTTATAGATACAAATGATAAATTACATTTCATTTCTCATGGTTTTCAAGGAAATATTAGAATCGTGTGAAACACCCGGCTGTTTGGCAAGTATAGCAGATACTACGATGGATCTTTTAATTTCGCAGAAAGAAAAAAAGTTGCTAAGTACGGTTAATCAATTTTTAAATGACATGACTTTGATAAAAGATAGTCCAAAACTAAGAACACCGACGAGGATTTCTGGCCACAGTTTAGAAAAAGTTCTTAATAAAATTCAATCTATGAACAGCGTTGACTCTATGGCCGCTGATACGGAAAAACTTCAGGTAATAATTTTTTAATTTTTAATTTCTGCACTCTCGCGCGAAATGTGTCGACGCATATCTTACAGATACCTTCTTTCTATTTCGAGATATAGTGCATCTTGGCGATAATCAAAGCATCTACGTCGCAAAAAGCTGACCAGATCGAGCTACTTACCAGCTTAGAGAAATTAGCTCTGCAAAATCTTTCCGTGAGTCGAGAATCCTCGAGTATACTCGTACAGGTATCGATCATTCTTTAAATTTATCCATTTATCTTTCATGTCTCATTTCGTTGATTCTTCAATCATCCCTGTCATTCACCAACCATTCGGGAAATATAAATCAAACAATTTTTCAGTTGAGCAATATCATACAAACGCGAGTTCACAGGGGACTCGATATTGAAAACTTGTTAGCATTGCTGATATACGTTTACGCACTTGCGGGAACGCAAATTCGGTTTTCTACGCAACAAGAGCGTCGACTGGAAGAGTCGATTGCAGCCGCAATTTTCGAAGACCTTGAAATGTTAAAGAAAAATTCATCGACTAATACAAAATCAGCCTATCAGCGTAATTTGTTATTATCAGGTACACACACACACACACACACACGCACACGCACGCACGCACGCACGCGCGCGCGCGCACACACACACACACACCGAGATATATGCCTTTCATTTTATCAAACGGATGTTATTTGCCAATTATTTTTTTGCGTTAGGAACGGACAATGTTGCAGCGCAAGAAACATCGTGCAAGATCGCAGCACGTATTCTCAATACTTTAAGATTAATCGCGGAACAACGCTTAACATTGCAGGATTACAGGTGAATTCTCCAAACGAAAACTTATTCTTTTTAATTTAGTTTTTCACTTCAGTCAAATATGCTACTTACTTTGTCCGTGCTCGCATTTTTTCTTTCAAACAATCAACGTTATTTATTTCGAAGAAAATTGTATCAATAACGAGGTGATCGTTATTCGTAGATTTTGTATGCTGAAATCAAGTTCTCAAGAGGCAACTCGGCATATCAGTATTTTAGAACAAATTACCAAGGATGTATTTTGCGTAGACACAAGCAGAGAGCTACGGGATCTTCATAAAAAGTCATCTTCGTTTATCGCAGCGGGGTTCAAGTAAAACTTCTTCTTTCCAAACTTTCGTATTCGTACATGAACTGAATTTCTCGAACATTGTGACGTTAAACGTTAAAAATAGTAAATATGAATCCTCTTTCATTGCAGTCTAATTTTAAGAGGTAAAACGAAACGTCATCCCCGAGATAATCCTTTTATTCTAATGTACATCGTTGGAGGCATTACCGCGGAAGAGGCGAAAATAATTCAAGAAGTAATATCGGCAAACAACGACGAGAAACCGCCACGTATGATGTTAGCAGGATCTAGATTGTTAAAGCCTTTAGACATAGTGGAGAAAATATTCTTTTCTTAGTTATACATTCCTTTTCCTTACCACTGGAATTTATTTTTCATCCATCTTCCATTTTATACCATCGGATAAAATAGAATAATGTATTTTCCTAACAATTTGCGTCGTTTCTAATGTACATGTAAAATTTTTCGAATTACACGCCTTGCATAGTTGTATTCTATAATTTGCATTATCCGTCGTAAGCTTTTTCCCTTTGTTATCGATATTTTTATATAACTTGGTGTATACCGTTGCGACATTAAATCGAGCTGTGTGCGTTCTCACAAGTCGTAACAAATTCTTCGCGTATGCGTCAATTGTGATAACATTGTCTTCGCAATCTTGCCAATAATATGCCGTTATACTGTCGATAGCTACAAGTGCAATTTTCGCGTTATCAACGAATATATCGTCCAACGTACGTAACGTCACGGCAAATTGTTCACTGTCGTAACAATCAACGACGTGCAAGTTGCGCAAAGAATTTTTAATCACAGCTCTCTTATCAAACTCCACGTCGACTGCAACGTCAGTTGCCGTAAACGATGCTGTATCAGTAGCTGCGTTTACGATATTGCTCATCAATTCTACCAATTTTGATATTTGAAAATGATGATCGGTGTTTATCAAGATAGCTGAAGCATTACAGCCTTTGATCTCACGATAATTCGGTAAGATACATTTCGCCAGCATCTGAGACAAAAGCAGAGTCTTACCGGATGACTGTACCCCACTAATTTCTATGATATCCGTGCCCCGAGGGCCTTCGAAAAATAAGGCATCTTCCAGCCCACGCAGGCTTGGTTTTTTATTCAATCTCGCAAGCAATTCTATTCCGGATTCGATCTGCGATTTCATAGATTTTTTATTTCCGATTCCCTTTCTTATTCAAAATATCGTTCGAATCGTGGCGATACAATTGACTCTTTTCTGAAATCTTTCGAAACTGCAACAAGCACGAACATTACGTGCACGGATTGGATAGATTGGATATTGCTCAGTGGTTGGATTATTGGATTCAAAGTACAATTAATTTATATATTTAACAAAGACGCGATATATATTGCTGAAAAAGGCGAATAAAAAATGTAAGTAGTACGTGAAAAAGAACGCGTTAAAGAAAAAAAAAAAAAAGTATCAAGTAAATTAACCTTTAATCGAATGCCACGAAGAAAATCTCCCCTGTATCGAATGCAAGAAACGATTCAATCAATCACTTTAATCGATCGTGAATACGTTGCGAAGTCTGCCACTGTAAAAAAGAGAATATTAGTATACCCAATTCGACGAGTTAAACGAACGAATAGATTTAAAATCCGTACGACGAATTACGATTTTCACCCAAGCAAGACTCGAACAGTTCGAGAAATCAGACAGAAAAACTAACCTTTTGCGCTCCGTTGTCGCTGCTGCGGCGACATTGTAAGACAAACATATAGCTCCGCTGTTGCCGCAGAGGCGACATTGTAGGACAAGCTGTTACTTCGTTGTCGCCGCAGCAGCGACATCAAAAAGAAACATTGTTTTTTTAATTTAAACATTACTTTATACATTGAATTTAAATATTCTTTAGTTTTTCTTGGAAGCCTATGC